CTATGATTATGTGCGCTTTTGCCTCAGATCTTGCTTTGCCTAGCTACTATCTACTCATGACCAGCAAAAGTACTCTTAATGCTGCAAAATGGAGTTGAGTGATTTCTTTCTTGGTTACTGAGGGAAACAGCCCTGACATTAAGCAAGATCTCAGTTTCGCACTCATCCCGGAGCTAATACCTTCCAAGGGGAGCACAACCAAATCCCAAAAACCCAAAAGATGTCCCACCAAGGCAGCGATCAAGAAGAGGACATGGGAGCAGCTGCATCCTTGTGCCCTTTAGAAACGGGCTGTATCTTAGCAAACAAACATTTCAGGAGCATTATGAGGCATGTAAAAACATTAAAGTCAAACCACTTTGGGTTGGCTTATTGATAGTGCTGGAGGCAAAGGCAGGCCCAAAAAGAGAAAGGATTATAGTCCTTTTGAACAGATTTATGCAAATTAAAGTATATATGAGATTGGATACAACAGCAAGGTATTTGGATGTAACAGTTCACAATTCACATACCTAATGTGATCAGTGAAGCTATTAGGGTACAGGTAGTCCTAAGCTTACAACCATTCATTTAGCAGTCATTTGAAGTTACGACAACACGGTGGGGGGGGACTGACTTATGACCAGGGCTCTCATAGCTTCCCTTGCAGAATTCGATTGAATGGTTTGAGATATATTTAAAATGAGTAAGAATAAAAGTTTTTAGATCTCTACATGATTTTCTGTCGTGATATAGCAGTACTGCATTTGTTCTTCAAGGTAAGAATGTTCACAGAAAAATTTATTAAGTTAATTGGGGAAGGTCTTGCCAACTATTTGGAGGGTTTCCACAGGCACAGGCATAGTAATTCTCAAAGCAATAACAGATGTTAATACCTTAAATACTTTTTGCATTGGTTGTCAGTCAAATAAAAATTAGCATTCTTCACCAGTATAGAATCTGGTTCAGTGTGTACGGTATTTTGAATGTAACCCCATCAGAATGAACTATTGTCAGCTTTTTCAATGTCTAAAATATAGACGAATTACTGATTTGAGATAATGTTGCTTCTATAGAATCATGAAATTTCACGTTGCCAAAAGGAAGTTTAAAGAAACTTTACGTCCCTATGATGTCAAAGATGTCATTGAACAGTATTCAGCAGGTCACCTGGATATGCTGTGTAGAATTAAAAGTCTCCAGTCTCGGTAAGAGGACAAAAAAGTCATTTTATAAAGTAGTCTCACGTAAAATCCTTTTGTAATATCACATAAACTGAGTCATATATTTCAAGACACTTAATTTTTCGTGATAGTCGTATTTCATCTGTTTTTTTTTCATATTTCATTTTCATTTTTCATATAGTAGTCATATATTTCATTCTGTTTATGCCCAGGACGTCAGAGCCATAACATCCTGGACATAAACTGTTTCAACTTCTTCCCTCAAGACGATGCTATAGGGCATTGCACGGCAAAACAACCACAAGGCACAAAGGCGGTTTCCCCCCTCCCCCATGTCATCACTCTAATTCCCATAACCCCGTCTTATGCCCTTGGGTGTCAAATCACCTAGTAGGGCCATATTACGAATAGTATTATCCTTCTCATCTTTCCTATTACCTATTTCCTTAGCTTCTTGTGAGTATAACTTTGTTGTTTGTATCCCATGATTTATGTTATTGCTTTTATTAAGTATCCTATCATGATTTATGTTGATTGATTATTTAGTACTCTGTGACTTCACTGAGTGTTGTATCTTATTATTTATGATGGTTGTATTTTATTACTATGATCACGATTTATCACTTCTTGCTTCTATGTACACTGAGAGGGTATGCCCTAGAGACCAATTCATTGTGTGTCCAATCATACTTGGCCACTAAAGAATTCTGTTCTGTTCTGTTCTATTCTGTTTCCTTACTGTGCCCTTCTTTCCTACAACCTGATTTATATCCACTAAAACTTTTTTCAGTATTATCAACTTTTATCAATTCTGACCACTGGAAAGCTACAAGTTGATTTTGGCAGGTTCTTCTGATAATAATTCATCTGTAACAGAGTATTGTATACAGCAGGAACAACGAATACATTTGTTAGTCTTAGTCACATTTAGATAAACTATTTAGATTACATACATACATTTAGAAATGATCACAATGGAAAGTGTTAAAATATTCAGGTTAATACGTTTGCCCCAAATAAAAATATAAGTATACGTTTGCCAAATAATTAAAAATATATTTTACTTAGGCCCCAAAATTATTGCCTTTTGAAGCCTTTTATGCATATTTCTATATTTAACTATCTTGCAGGGTTGATCAGATTCTTGGAAGGGGACAAATTACCACCGATAAAAGAAGTCGAGAAAAAAATACTGTAGAGAATGAGACAACTGATGACCTCAGCATGTTAGGGCGTGTAGTCAAGGTAGAAAAACAGGTAATGCAACTTAAAAGAGCATGAGGCTTCCTTATATTACTGAACAACAATTTTATGAATAAAATTCATTGCTAATGTTTTCTACCTAATTTCCATTTTTTCATAACAATAATATGACTGTGCAAAATTATTTTAGCGAACTCCAAAATGTCAGTGGCATTTTGCACAATTTTATCATTGTACTATTATTATGAAATATACACAGAATAAATCTCGATGGCTGCAATTCATATTCTACATGATACATAGAAATATCTCATGAATTTGCATCATTTTAGTATAATTTATTAGGGGTTGGTTGGAATAAATGACAACTTGAACCATGTATTTTTCATAAAAATTATCTTTTGCAAAAGAAATCATGTAATGATTGAACAAAATTCAAATTTTTCTTTGCAATATATTATTTTGTGATTAAAGATATAAAATTCCATATCACTGTATCATACATGATAAAATACGTACTACAGGTTACAAATGTTATTTTAATGACATGAATCTTAAGTTATGAACATCTCAACGATCCTAAATATTTGTTCTTCTTCTATCTCTAGGTCCAATCTATTGAATCAAAATTAGATTCACTACTAGACATTTATCAACAGGTTTTGAAGAAAGGATCTGTGTCCGCATTGACTTTAGCTTCGTTTCAAATGCCGCCTTTTGAATGTGATCAAACCTCTGGTTACCAGAGTCCTGTAGATAGTAAAGATTTGTCTAATTCTGCTCAGACTAGTGGATCTGTTTCCAGATCAGCCAGTGTCAACATGCCATGTGGCCTACAGCTTATATTGACACCAAATGAATTCAACACTCAAGCTTACTATGCCTTTAGTCCAACTATGCATAGTCAAGCCACACAGGTGCCAAGCGATGGATCTGTAACTCTGTCCACTAATAATGCACTAAACCAAATAAATCAGACATCTAAACCAACAGCACCCACTACATTACAGATACCCCCCTTTTCATCAGTAAAGCATATCAATAGGCTGCAGCCTATTAATTTTATTCCTGTTAACACACAGGAAAATACTTCTGATGTCACCACTTGCCTTGTTGCTTCAAAGGATAATGGACAAAGTTCACAGTCCAGTGTGACAAAGGATCTTTCATGGAGAAAAAGCCTTGACACAGAGAATGAACCTCTAGTCTCTGTGAAACCAACGGTACAAATGGATATAGGAAAATCACTGTCAGTACAAAACCTTATACAGTCAACAGCTGAAGAACTGAGTCTACAGATTTCTGGAAGTGATACCAGTAGTTCAAGAAGTAGCCAAGAACTATATAGCAAATGGAGGGAATCAAAATTATTTATAACTGATGAAGATTTGGAAACAGAGAGAGAAAATGAAACTTTTGAAGCCATTACCCACCCATTAGTGGAAACAACTCTCTCTACTGACTCTCTAAGGACTGGAATGTCAAGATCATCTCAAAGTATTTGCAAGCCAGGAGACAGCACAGATGTTCTCAGCCTTCCTCATGTCAAACTTAAATAACATTTTGTTGGTTTTGTTCAAAGCTAAGTAACCCTTTCAGTCATACATATCAAGGCATGGACATTTTGAAAACCCTTTAAATATTTTCTAAAGAATAAATTAGTCAGGAAGAAAGGCACTTGTATGAGTCCATATATTTTAGTTGCATGTAAAATGCATGTGTAGATGATGGAAAAAAATATTCTAATTTATACCTACGGTACACTGGCATTTTCATTTAGTACAGCAGGTATAAATGAGTTACCAATGAAATTTATGTTAGTTTTATTAAACATTTGGAAACCATTGAGTTTCTATAGCTCATAAGTAAATTTCAAATAATAGGAAAGTAATTTTGCCACTGGTTAAAATAAAATCTATTTATGACCTGGATTAGATCATACCTATGTTTACAAGGGGGCGGGAGGGCGTTACTATTTGCAGCTGCTAGTAAGAAAAACCCATTTTTCTGGGATTAGAAATGGCTGCTAGTTGCAAGCTAAAATTATTCAGCTATTTTAGAAGAATTTTGATTTCTATATTCACTTGAAGGTGTAGGTACAGGATTGAATCAAAATATTTTGCACAGCACTTTTTTAGGTTTTTGTGACTGTATTATTAGTACTACTACTACAACTACTACTACTACTTTACCTTCTCTTTCTATAAACTGTTCAAAATTCCAAATCATCCTGGTTGATCTTCAGAGTGAAATTTTCTCTCTAACTTTCTAAATTCATAGATGATCTCCTTGTGGATCTTAACTATCTGCGAGAAACAGCTGCTTTCTTGAATGTAATTATTATTTAAATTATTTTCTGTGGCCGAAGGATAGCACAAAGGAACTTAGCAAAAAGGAGAAAGTAATGGATGAAATGGGGAGATAAAAGAAAAATGATACATAAAAAATAGTAATTCTAATACAATTATAATTACATGATTAGATTAAAAAAATAATTTGTTTATAAATGAATGTGGGCAGGATCGGGGGAAGCCTAAAGGAAATGGAAAGGGGATGCAAAACCTTATAAATAAAGACTATTTATCTCTCCCCTCATAAAAAGTCTGGTAATCCAACTGATCTGATGGTGCTGAACATTACCTGTCAGGTATGTATTGACAAGAGCTGAAAGTCTGGTCTGGTTTTAGTATAAGATATAAAAAAACTAGTGCCTCCTCCAAATATATTTCTAGGAATCTCTTCCCAAATCCAATCCATACTAATCTGTGATATAGCTTTGAACTAGCAGAAGATTTTTTGTTCTTCTTCCAAACTCTCCTTTTACTCCTGACAAATACCAGGAAACAATACTAAACAAAATTACAATTGCCATTGAATTATTTTAAGAGCCTAATGGTGTTCTAATTGCTCTTCCCTACTGATAGCCAAATTTGCTACTGTATTCATTATTGATGTTCACACACATCTCCAAAGTATGGCATCAGCAAAGTATCTTCTGCTTGATATTCTCTCAATTCCAGAGGCATTCCACAGATTGAAGAGTGCTACTAGCTCAGTCCCTTGAGTCAGTCCTGCTCTGAAAGTGAAGTTACACATCAAAATATCACAAGAGTCTTAATCATGAGTAAATGCTGCAGATTGTGCTGCAAAATTGAATTGTTTACTCCATTAATTTCTGCCTCTTTTTATATAGATAAACTGTCTGGATGTTAACAATCTTATTCTGTGAAAGTACTCATAAATTGTAAAGTGTTTGTACTATTTCCTTCATATAAAGATGATGAATGCTACTCGAGTTTTGGTTTCGTCAAAGCTCATACTGGGATAATTTCCAGAGGAAGATTTTGAAGCACACATGGACAGTCTTTCATTCCGCACAGAATATTTTATTTTACCGTTTCAGTCTTTGAACGTTGATGGTGGCAGCATATTCTGCAACATTTATAGTAGAAACAGTTCCTGGATGCCTCCAGAACTAAGCTATCCTTTTTCAATTGAATCTGTCTACTCCAGCTGCCAAACCAAATGAAAGAAGGGCATTGGTGAATTGTGTACAAGTAGTCCTTGACTTACATCTATAATTTCCATCGCAAGCAAGGCGGTTGTTAAAAGAGTTGCACTCAATTTTATGACCTTTTCTTCTACAGTTAAAATTAAACAGAGTCATTTAAGGGTGCAGTTCCCCCCATTGATTTTGCTTATTGGATAACTATTAGGAAGATCGTAAATGGTGATCACATGACCACGGGATATTGCAACATGTAGGTCACCAAGCACCTAAATTTTGAAAAATGGACAGTAAGGGAGACTGCGATGGTTGTAAGTGCGAATACCAGTTGTAAGTCACTTTTTTTTTCTGTGCTATTGTAACTCCAAACAGTCACTAAATGAATGGTTGTAAGTCAAGGACTATCTGTAATATGGGTGTTTATAGGGATGAACAGTCTCTGCCCCTCCTCCCTTGTGAAACTTGAACCTACAGCAACTCCTTTCCTTCTCACATCTGGAAAATCAACCAAAATTACTTCCAACCAGGGGTTTATGTGCTGTGCGTCCTGCCAAAGATAGTTACAAATATGACCCTTCCCTCTTTCAATGCTTTATAGTGCCTTTTATTAGCCTACATTTGCATTAATTAGAACTCATCAGAAGAGCTATTGCCAAGGAGCAAGGCCAGCTAGAGAAGGCAGTGAGAAGTTTCCCTTTCTAAAAATACAATTGAGAACATTAGCCTGCCATACAGGATATCCACATGGACACCAGTATTCAAACAGAGCTCCATTTCCAGTGTCAGCAAAGTAATTTGTAGTTTGGTGATTCTCTGCTATTGGTTGCCTTAATTAAAAGGCAAGGCTGAGTCTTCATAACATTAATTATAATGCTGCCTGTGAAACCGAATAGGTCTTCAAGAGACACCAATCAGGAATATCTTTACAAACGTATAACTAGCCTTTAAATTACCCCACCCTCTTGTTCACAGGAAGATTTTACAGATACATGATTTTACAAAAAAAATAATAATCATGTTCTTTTTAATACTGCTGAAGTTTCTTTAGCAATAGCAATAGTTAGACTTATATACCGCTTCATAGGGCTTTCAGCCCTCTCTAAGCGGTTTATAGAGTCAGCATATCGCCCCCAACAATCCGGGTCCTCATTTTACCCACCTCGGAAGGATGGAAGGCTGAGTCAACCTTGAGCCTGGTGGGATTTGAACAGCCGAGCTGCCGAACTAGCAGTCAGCTGAAGTAGCCTGCAATGCTGCATTTAACCACTGCGCCACCTCGGCTCATTTAACCACTGCGCCANGTCGCGCTGTGATGACGTCAAATGCGCGCTTTCGTCAAGCGCGATTTTGTCATCCGCGGTTTTGTGGTGGAACTGCCTGCAGACCCAGTAGTAAAAATTTTTGAATCCCACCACTGGATGGGACTATCTAGTTATTTGGAAAATCTGCTTGTAGCTCTTGTACTTGACTGTTACTTCCTTATGCTAAAAGCCACATCATGATTAAGAATCTTTTCTCACTTACCCCAGTTCTTTAGAGCCAATTTCTAAAGGAATGTATCTAGAATCTGATTTAATAAAATATTTAAACTCTCAAAGTTTCTTTTCTGTGGACCTTTGGGAAGCTGCTTTAAGTATTATTTACACAGAAATGTATTGGTAGTTACGCATAGATTCTCATCTGTTCTTAACTATAAGAACATGTTTGTTTGATGTAACTTCTAATGATATTTTTAAATTTTATGGGCCCTACAGGTTGCTAACATGGTGCATTTTAATTGTGATCTGAAACTGAATTTTAGCATGTTACTGTATCAGTTTTTTGATGTTGTACTTTATTGTTTTGCACTGTATCTAGTGACAGGCAAATGAAAAAATTATTACCACAAGTCTTCACCTACTACCAATAAGCTGGTCTTGATTTTAAAACAGGGAACTATGGGAACTGGTAGAAGCTTTGAAGGGGTTCCTCAAATGTACAGATGTTTCTCTTAAAATAATGCTCCATATGGAAAAGATTTTCTGAAGACAACTTGAAAACCATCAAACTAGACAGATATTTCTCTGCAAAACTCAACATCTGTCTTATAGACAATTTTCCTTTCTCATTGACTTTGAAATATTACTCCCATAGTCATAATAGATTAGAAAATTGTTGGCAATCCTGGCATAAGTAGGTGACATCCTTGATGAGAGCCCATTTCTTTTTGATATTACTTATCTGATATCAATGAATACCATAAGTCAATTAGTATTACCCAGAGTACCACAGAGCAATAGTTTATTAAACCATGATAATTTAGATTCTTAATCAATAGCTGCTGGACCTTCACTGAGTAACTGGGCAAGCCATCACCTTTATTCGCTTCATCTGGAAAGAACTTCCCATGCTACTAGTAGTAATAAATGGAAGAGAAATGATCTGGTATATGAAAAGTCTACCAGCATGAAAAAACCCTATGTCTGTCATGTTAAGTTAGCATTTAATGCATTCCCAGGGCCTTCTGTTTCCAGCAGTCCAGAAGAGTACATTCTTAGTGCCAAATCTGCTTCATTTCAGAGATGAAAAAACATTAGATAGCTTCAAGGCAAACACTTTGAACTGACCTTGTATATTTTATGTAAGTGTAAGATTCAGCATGGGTCGTTCTACCATTATGTGAAGTAAAGCAGCCCAGGACTTTCTCTACTCCTGACATGTCATCTGGGACAATCAAGAACCACTGGGATACTATGGTTGTGATGTTGAATTAAAACCATGGATCCAAGTTTATCCTCAGTCATGGAAGTTTGAGAGGTAGCTTTTAGCCAGACACTCTTTCATTTCAATCTATGTCATAGGTTTGTTATTACGGGAGAAAACTGAGGAGACTCAAGCTCCTGATGGAAAGGTAGCATATGCATTTAACCAGGAAATAGATAGCTCCCAAGGCATTTTTCGGAGATATGCTTGTGTCCTGATCAGTGGTGGGTTCCGGATCCCGTTGCAACCGGTACGGTGCAATGGGGCCAGTCGTCCACCACATGAATGCGTGCAGCGTGCACAGGCATC